TCTAGTTCTTCGTATTTCTATAGCATTCGCCCCATCACTCCGTTGAATACCTTGCAGTATTTCCTGGGTTTTCATCCTTCGTATCTTATTTTCAGGAAATCATGTATTTTGCGGATGTTTGTGCCGGTCCTGGCGGGTTTTCGGAGTACCTACTTTGGCGACGCTGTAATACAATCCTCCCACATTCCAGTTCAACGAATAATTCCGTGACAGACGAGCATCCCATTTCTAATGTCCCACATTTGTCTGCAAAAGGCTTCGGTCTTACTTTGACGGGCCAGTGTGATTTTCGTCTGAATGATTTTCTTGCCGGCCCTTCTGAAGCATTCTTTCCCCATTACGGTACGACAAAAGATGGGGATATAACCAAGTGGACCAATTTGGCATCTTTCAGTTCGTTGATCGATCAAGCAACTTCTGGTCAGGGAGTTCATCTTCTCGTAGCTGATGGAGTAAGTTTGATGCATATCGATTAAAGGCTGCTGATAAGATTGGTCGACACAGTATAGCCTTGGATGATGAAACTATTCAGTTTGCTAATTATTGAAAGCCAGTTGCCTGCTTGTCTATAATCGTTATCGTTTCCTGCATTTAATGCCCATGCCCAGTTACTCGTTCTCTAAAACCAGTGTCTTCTTCCATGGACCCATGAGTATGCTGTTTTATTTTGCCTTGACATTAGTTTATTCACTCGTTTTCCACCCACATCCATTACTGCATTGGGTAGAGTAAAAGATGGTGTGATTAACCGAATGATAAACAGGAAAACAGAGTCTGATTGACAGTCTTTGTTCGAAACATATGAGCTTGTGGTGTAATAAAAAAACCTACCTAGCCATCTTTGATAGTTGGCGCAGTCCAACCATCTGCTTGATTGCAAACCCTAGTCGCCTTTGCACTGAACACTGGTGGAGCAACATCGGCGGTTACCTTATGTGCAGTGGGAATCGGTGTGTACGTGTCAGAGATAGAATGCATTCACGTGACACTTATTCAAGTTTCTAGCCACGTCCGTCTTTTGTCATACGCAGTATTCCACTCAAGTCGTGTTTATGTTTAGCGTCTCCTCATAAAGCAAGTGAATCAATGCCATCTGTAACTTAGATATTAAGTTCATGAAAAGGAAAGGAATGAACAAAGATAGTAGACAAACTGGAGAAAACGCTTAAATGCAGAGCTTGAAAATCCTTTTCGTCGGTCGAATAATTCTATGATCTGAATGATTACATCGATGCATTGATCTCTCCTAACCTCAAACTGGGTGGTTATTGATGGTGGTTGAGTGATGTAAATCGCTGGCACTGATGTACTTTGAACCTTGAGTCTGAATCGCCCCACCGCCACCCAGCTTTAATGGTAAGTAGCTTCACTGTCACCCGGTTCAATGCCATGCTTGTAGTGGTGGGGTCCTTATGTGGTTCGCCACTCCATGTTCCGCGGCTTAGTTTGCCGGTTTCCACGACTGAACACTAGGTCCTCGGAGTTGTGGAGTTTACCCGTTTTGTTGTTCATCACACAATAGTGTCCGTAAAGAAAGAAGACATAAATGAAGTTCACTGTAAGTGAATCTCTGAGACACTTGAGAGGATTAATTATGGACGTTTGGTTCCATGTCAGAGCAGTTTACTGTTGTTGGGTGCCGATTATGCACCGAGCGCGTCAAAAGGATTCCATTTCCGTCCCAGTTTGCTAGTACGGTTGTCCTAAACGTGCGTTTCGAGGAAGACTTATCCTTGCAGGAAAATGAGTGATGCGTTGGCTGGTGTTGAACTGACGTTAGGAGGATGCTATGTTGTTTAGACTTACAAATCACACGTGTGATTACTCTGAAACGCGTGAGCGAATTCCATTGTGTAGGGACTGTTTTCACTCGGTAGTCGTTCTTGCTATGCCCCCTACTCGGTCACACCACGGATGGAGATAGTTGTCCTGTAAACAGAATCAAATCATAGATGAGAAAAAAGTTCATGCACATTAAAGCTTAGGTGCGCCGTTGTACACGGTC